ACACATCTACAGATATTTTCACATACATATGTTCAGTGAACTGATTTTTGAATGTTGTGAAAATGTTAAACCCTCACCAGAAAGGTAGAAAAGTTCAAAAAAATGTCAAATTTTTTGCACTTAAAGTTGTCTAAAAATACCAAGAAACTGGTGTTTACTGCAAAAGCTGCTTAAAAAACTGAGTAGTGATTAAAGAATTCATGCTCTTGTGATACCGTTGCACAGACAATGCAAACAGAAATTAGCTTAATTCACTTTAAATTTTACTCCAATAAAGCACATGCACAAAATAAGCCGTCAATACAAAAATGCCATTTTTTATAGAAACAATTAGGCTTAGGGATGTAACGATGCATCTTGGAGCAGTAACAATCTATACAAATGCATGACAATTGCATCAGTTGAAATAAAAAAATGAATTGCACATCAAGGCGTAAGGAGTAGGCTGCGTTATCTTAAAGTCACTGTTCACACTGTGACATTACACACACGACTAGAAAAGGTAGTTTGCCTGGAGTTCATTTTGTTGAAAGAAATTGTGATAAAAGTTGCATCGCGAACAAAAAAGATCATCAATCATATTGTATCATGATTAGAGTATATCGTTACATCCCCAATTAGGCTCCTGTTAGATTTTAGCCAGCGTCCTGCTTCAATGCACAAGTAGGCTTACGAGGCAGACACAGTCACCGTTGTTGACTACATTGCAAAGTTGTTGATCTATATCTGCAACATGCAACTGCCACTGTCTGGGTTAAAGTTCTCTCTGTGAGCGTACTTGTGGCGTGTTAGGAAAGGTAGACTGGGAGGAGGCAGACTGAGGGTCTGCAGGTGCAGAAGAAACAGCTGCTGTGCCCATCTGCAGCATGGTGAAAAGGAGATCACAGCATTGGCATGTAGCATGTCCAAATATCTCAATAAATAGGTAAAAAGTCACTCCATAGCACTGACAGATAAAAATAAATAAATACATAAATAAAGCCTTGCTGGCAAAATTGAAACTAAAAAGAACAGCAGACATTTCAGGACAAGAAATGAACTGTTCAAGAGACATTTGAACCAAACTACCTCAAAGTGAACATTAAAACGTCCAAACCATAAAGATCATTTTTATAAATTATAATAAAGGTTCAAAACATAAAAAAAAAAATCTTAAAATACACTTTATTCAAAAACGAACACTGCATATGGGTGTCATACGGTTCTCACCTGTGCTGCACTGGGGAAAAGTGGTTTGCTGACTGCAGGCTGGGCAGCCGGTGCAGCTGGTCGACTGGGTAAGGCACCTGCTGTAGGTGCTGGGGCCATGTGGGGCACTCCTGTCCGGAGGGCGATGGGGGGGGGG